ACCCTTAGAAGCAGCCCCTATGCCCAGGTTAATATGTGCTTGGCTTAAGGCCCCAGTGTCAGGATTGCAGCCAGGAGGCCCATCAGTCAACAGTAACCACCTGGAACTCACCTCCTCCCCAGCTCCAGCCCCAATCTCAGCATTCCCAGGGCAGTGTGAACTGCCCTGAACACCCTCACCCAGGCCAATTTCTGGTTCGGAGCAGAATCCTTTCCTCCTTCTAGAAGCTGCAGGACCCGCCCGCCTAGGAGTTGTATCCCCCTGCGCTCCCAAGCCTGACGCTGCAGACCTGCTTCCCCTATACCTCCAACCCCGACCCTAAACCACTCCTTTAACAAAGTCAACCGAGTTCAGACGGGCAGAACAGTCCCTCTGCAGCGGCAGCCAGCACATGCCCACCTCGGAGCACAGGGTGTGTCTGGGTAATGACCAAATGGGGAGTGGGAGGAGGTCCCCACATGACTTCTTGCCCTGTTTGTGGAGAGAGGGCTTGGTTTGTGCTCCAGAGCCAGGGCACAGGGATAGGCTGGGGTCCTGAGGCAGACACCGACCTGAGCCATCTCCTCAGCTCTGCCATTATCTCTCTCGGTGACTTTGGGCAGGTCCCTGGCCCTTTCTGGAGCCTCAGGTATCTCATATGTAAAATGAGGGAGGTGAACCAGATGGACCCTAAGGCCCCTTCCTTGTCTCCCGTTCTATGGTTTGTGACACATCCTTTCCTCCGGCCTCAGATGTGCAGAGATCATGATCAATGCTGACCTGACTGTTTCCAGACAACTGTCCAGACACTTGCCACCTCAGAGTCCACCCTAAGGTTCCTCCTAACATATTGTCCCCTAGCTCTGTTGTTGTGTGTATTCTAGAAGCCTCCTCTGCCTGCTGCTGCCATGGTCTTGATCTTCCAAGGACTGGTTCTCACTGGGTCTTGCATGCCCAGTGCCTAGCACAGTGCTGGGTACATGCTAGGAGTTCCCTGTGTTGAAAGACCAAGCACTGGTTGGCATCACCCTGCTCGCCTTGCCTTCCATGTCTCCTGACCAGCCTAAGATACTCACAGCTGCAGGACTTGAGCCCCTGGGCTTCCTAGGGGAGAGAAGTGAGGATTCGCCTCTTCTTGGGTACCTCTGCAGTCCCACCAGTTCTCAAGCACTCATGAAACTGGCAGCCATGCGGGCCCAGGTCAGATCCTGCCACTGCAGGGCAGGGTGGTGAAGACTTTGCTGTCTTCAGCCTTAAGGTGTTTGCTTAAGTCACTGGGCTGGTCTGCCCAAAACATGTTCCTGCCCACACCCTTGGCACCCACACAGGGCACACGTGCAAGAAGCCAGCAGGTGCAGATAAGACCAGAGCCCCAAGGATGGACAGAGGTGGCAGAATTCATCTCCTTTTTGCAGGTCTAGCCTGAGTTTGCTCATCTGAAAACCAGCTGTTTCTTAGCAAGGTCAGCTCAAAGGTGAGATGTGTCAGGAGAGAACCTTAGGAATACTTTGGCTTTATCTGCATAACTCAGTGTTATGTGTGACTGTTCAGCGTGACTGTGTGTGTGTGTGGTCGCAAGCTCTGGATCACAGGGGAACACAGGGATGGGCTTTAAGGCAGAGAATCTTGGGTGCTTTCAGAGGTCAAAAAGGACTTGGGAAGAAGCTGGAAAACCCTTCTAGAAACAGCGCTTCCGGGGCAGCCGCCATCCTACTTCTTCCTGGGAGTCTTCCCCGGCCTGGAGTCTATAGCTCAGGTGTCCAGGCTGCAGCTGTGACCGACCTTCCTGTCCTCCTCTTGCCGGAAGTCTTCCCAGCTCCTTCTCTGTTCCCTGGAGGGCTGATCTGGGCACCTCTCCCCTGTACTCCCATAGCACCCTATGTTCCATGTTACAGTGGTCTCTTCACCTTCCTGTCTTCCTCACCAGATTGTGAGATCTTTTCAGGACAGGGATTGTGTCTGATTTATTTCATTTTTCCCGGTATAGGATCCTGGTACTCGATAAGGGGTTACCAGTGAATGAATGAATGAATGAATGAATGAATGAATGCAGCATCCCACCCCAGGGCTGGGGGCGAAGTAGGTTGCTTTCAAAGGATTCTCTATACTGCTCCAGAGAGAGGCATAGGGTTGCTTTTCATCGCTTTCATCATGAAACACAGATGATTTAACAAAACTCCAGGCTGAGCTGCTATGGCTGTTAATGTGTCCTTGGCTCCTTTCTCTTTGTTTCTGAGTCTTTGTCTCCCTCACCTTTTCTCTGTGTTTCTATTCGTATCACCTGTCTCTCCATATCTTTGTGTTCCCTCCACCAACCCTAAATTTGTCCACACTTTAATTCTACCCAAGATACCCCCAAGATGCATTTTCAGCCATCAGGGGCACTCTCCCTCTTGTCTTCTGCTTCCCTAGCCTCTGGTCTGCTTTCCTTCTTCCTGGACCTCCCACCAATGACCAGTCCCCAGATTCTGAGGCCCCTGTCCATCTTCCTTGGTGACTTCAGAGGAATCTCTGGGCTCATCTATCCCTACTGCCCCTATGATGCAAGGGCTACCTGCTCAGAATTTTGCTGAGACAGTAGAAAAGTTTTGAGGAGAACAGACAACAAGTTTCCAACTCCAGCACATGTCCCAGAGGCCCCAGACATCTTCATCCAGGTTACCTTAGGAGTTATACCTGCAAGGGAGCCTGATGGTATCTAAAAGGTATGGTCTTGAATAGGATCTCATCCTTAGCTTCGCAGGTTCAAAGGTTAAGATGATATCATAGACTAAGCAGAGGATTTGAAGCCATTTTAGCCAAGTTAGATTCCTGTCTCTTCCATCCAAATCTTTGTGACCTTGGACAAGGTATTTCACTTCAGTCAACTCAGTTTACTCATCAAAAAAAGACAGTAACATACCTATATGTTTGGTATAAGAATTAAACCAAATAACCTGTATGAAAACCAAGTGTTACTATGGAAAGTAGGTCAGACTCAGGAGATACTAACTCACATTAATGAAACTCACACTGGACCAATGGGTAGCCCAGAGTGTCCATGGGTCATTTAAAAGAGAAGCATGCCTGCAAAAGCAGCCCTAGACGCTCCAGCCAGCTGGGCAGTGCATTCTCTGCCCTAAAGGACGAACAACCAGAAGATTCCCTGGTGGACATGGTGTCTCAGCAAGGGGACTTAGTTGTTTGATCTTGATGGCCACTGTCACCTGGCTACAGGAAGAACCTAATGACTCATCTGCTTTCTAGGAATTTCCTGGCCAAAGTTTAGAACAGGTCAGGCTACCCATGACACTGGACAATACTGAAGATGCATGGACAAATTCTCGCCCTCTGGCTCTGCTTTGTTTAAAGACTCTATCGTACAATTGTTCATTCATTCTACAAATCTATATTGAGCTCCTCCTAAGTGCCGGGCACTGGGCTAGATGGGTAGGGATACAAAAAAGGCATTGCCCCCTTGCCCTCCTCAGGGAGCTCACAGTGTTTGCAGAAAGACTGACAATTCCGTACATGATTACCATTAATTGTGGTCAGTATTATGAGAGTGAAGCAGAGGAAGCCAGAGGAACGAATGTGCAACCTGTCAGCTAAGTCCACATAGGGGTCTGGGGAAGGGCTCCCCGAGGCAGTGTCCATGCACACATCCTTCCCTCAGCCAGGTGTCAGGGCACACTTGGGTCACTTGAATTCTGGCTCTCTTCAGCCAGTTGTCTGGCTACACCCTGACAACTCTGAGTGACCCCGGGTGTTTCCCTAGTCCCCACAAGTAATACATCTACAAACTATCCCTTGGGTTGGGCTTGCAGACAATTCACTCTTTCATTCATTTAGCAAATATTTATTGAGTCCCTATTATGTACTGAAGCTAGCGCATTTCACCATGGGGAACTTTCACCCCAACTTCCAGAGGTGCCTTACTGAAGCCCCTTGCACAGATTCCAGCCCACTTCAGAGCCTCTGGTTTCTTTTGGAGAGATGGGAGGACAATTGAGATGAGGACAGTGCAGCCTTTGATGTCTCAAAGAATGGGCACCTGGTGTCAGGAAGGGACTCTCCCTCCCACGAATTAAATCAAGAAACACCTCCACCCACCCTCCCAGCCCCTGTCCAGAATTGCTTTCTGAGGTCCTTCCGCAGCACTCAATGGGCCTGGGATGGGCAGCTCTGCTGGCAGCAGCCAGAGCAGTGCCATGACCCAGGGAGACATTAATTCCTGGAAGCAGCAGAGGGCTGTGATTGGAGACTTGCTAGCCTTCAGGTCGCCTCTCATATAATTGTTCTAAGTCCAGTTTCTTGAGCTCTTTTATCAGATCCTAAACCCCTGTGTTCTCTTTGCACACTACCTGGAGGGCCAGGAATAATTTCCCCCATTGCACTGTTGGATAGACCAAGGCACAGAACTCACAAGCGACTTAAGACTGGGGACAGAACTGGGAACCAGGTCTCCATCACAACTCAAAACCACATAAAGGCTCCCAGGGCCTCCCAGACATGGTTCTTCCCCTTCCCCAGGGGTGTTCAGAGGACTACTGTCTTCCCACCCCCTAGATCCCCAATCTTCAAAGCAAGCAGCCCCAAGAGCACACCCCTCGGGTGGCCTCAATAGCTCCCATTGTCCAAGAGGCTATTTGGCCTGACCCCCAGCCCCATAAGCAGCAGGACAGCAAGCTGAGAGGAGCTTGTCCTGCCTTGTCCCCTCCTCTGCCTCGTCCCCCTCCTTCCAGGCTGCCTTGGGGGAGCCTGTGGGGCAGGAGCCCCGCTGAATGTGACCTATTGTCTTCGGGGTGGATTTAGGAAGTGCCAAGCTCCCATCAAACAGCCCTGCTCCCCAGGTAAAACAAAAAAAGGCTGTTCATTTGGGACCTTTTCCCCCTTATCTCCTTTTCCTATCTCCTCAGGCTTAGCTATGGTGTAGTGTTCAAAACCACTTCCCCTCTGAGCCAATCAGAAGCCGGGGCTCACCCAGTGGCCCTGAGGAAAAGTTATTTATAAACGCCTCCCTGGATTATTTGAGCAGAGCCCTTTCACACACCTCAGGAACACCTTTCAGCTGCCCGCTCCCCAGACACACCTGCAGCCCTGCCCAGCCGCCGGCTTTGCTCACCCACCGGTAAGCCCCACCCAGCCCAGCCCACCCCACTGGGCTGGGGTCATCCCTGCAAGAGGGCGGGCACCAGGGGTACCGAGAGGAGGGATGACAGGAACCAACTGCCAACCTGAGCACAAGTAGGAAGGACACTGTGGCCCCTGGAGTCTGAGAGCAGCCTCCCAGCCCTTCCCCTCTGAGACGCCCTTTGGGTCTTCAGGTCCATGTAAGGACCTGGGTTGCAAGGCTGGGCTTGGCTGAGGGAGCAAGTAGGGTGAAGGTGTGGTGGAGGAGGCCACCAGACCCCAAAACAGAGCGAGGCAAGGCCTCCTAGGGAAATGAAAATGTTAGACCTTCCTCTGCACCAGCCTTTGAAGCTGTGGACTGCTCCTCTCCCTTTCTTTTCAAGTCTTGGAGGCAAAAGCTCTTAATGCTTGACTCACCAGCCTACTCTGTACGGCTGTCTCCCCTCCTTCTACCCCCCAGACATCGTCCTTCACTCATTTACTTCTCCACCAGCTCAGGGAACTTAGCATGGACTACACAGAATCCCATGTATCTCCATTAGTCCTGAGAAGTTGGAAGAGGTGGAGGGGGAGGAAACCGAGGAGTGGGAGAGGGTGAGCAAGGGACCAGCTCCATCAGGCAGCTGGGTGGGTGGTAGCTGGACCTGGGATGCCCGACTCCCTGGTGAATGCTTCAACACAGAAGGGCTTGGGCCAGGACGGTGGATGGGCCGCCAGCTCCCCAGGCTCTCAGCCTCCAAACCCCTCATACTGCAGCTCCAAGGGGTTCCAAGCCACTCTCAGGCAGTGCCCTCATTCCTCAAAACTAGCCCAGAGGGTCCCCAGCTGAGACCTAGCAAAGCTTTGATTATTCCAGCATCAACTGCCCCTTACACTTGACCCCAAGGGTCTGAGCACCAAAAGAAGACCTTGGAGTGACACAGCCCCCCAAGTGAGCAGACTGAGAGAGGACTTTCCCCCTGAGTGACTTCACTCATGCAGATTACCCTCTCTCGGAGCCCCACGGTCCTCCCCCACCTCCCTCATCCTGGCCCTGGCATTCGGAACCCGGCAAGACCCTGCATGGGCCGCACGGAGACCAGCATGGCCCAGCAGCACCTCCACTGCAAGCATGGCCTTCCCAGGCACTTTCCAGAGCTAGCCACCCACTCTGAGTCTCATTTGTATAAACCCTGGGGCAGAGACGGACGCCTCTTTATCTTTTAATGCCCAGAGTCTTCCGGAGATTGGCATATACCCAGTATTCAAGAGTGCCTCTTAAACCGTACTAAACAGCCAGACTCTGACCCCCGTGAACTGGCTGGGGGAATTGAGGACCAGTTCAACACTGACCAAGCTTTGTGGGCTGCGGGGTCACTACTTGGAAGATGGAAGGGGCAGAGCCACCCCTTCAAGGGGAGTTGATCTTTACTGGATGCCTCTCCGGGCTTTCGTCTGGATTTCTGGGACCAGAGCAGCTGGGCCTTTCCCTGGTCTCCTTGCCCAGGCCCTGCTTCCAAGTGAAAGCAGCCCCAGTCTCCTTAAAGACTTCTAGGAATTTAACCTCAAGTGCCCATTCCAGGGAGCCCATGACCTTGTCAGTCTTGCTGTTAGGAAGTGATTCTCAAAGTCTAGCCTTGATCCCTCTTTCTGAAGCCTATTTCCTCAGCCCAGCACCCATCCCTAGCAGGGAAAGTGCAGAGGGAGGGAGAGTCCGCCTGGAGATTAAGAGTGGGGATTTAGGGGTTAGTATCAGTGAATCTCTACTCTACACGGGATGCGGTCTCTATGACACCTTAGGGACATCTCATCCTCCCCTACACTGAGAAGGAAATTAGGCTGGGTGAGGAGCTGGGAGAGATTTGCCCTGGAAACACAGGGACAGTAGAAGGAAAAGGAGTGTTTAAAAATGCCTTGGGGGACTGGGTGCAGTGGCTCAGCCTGTAATCTCAGCACTTTGGGAGGCTGAAGAGGGCAGATCTCTTGAGGTCAGGAGTTCGAGACCAGCCTGGCCAACATGGCGAAACCCTGTCTCTACTAAAAATACAAAAAAAAAAAAATTAGCTGGGTGTCATGGTACACACCTGTAATCCCAGCTCCCAGAAAGGCTGAAGCAGGAAATCGCTTGAATCCAGAAGGCAGAGGTTGTGGTGAGCCAAGATCATGCCACTGCACTCCAGTCTGGGTGACAAAGGGAGATTGCGTCTCCAAAAAAAAAAAGCCTGAGGGGTGCAGAGGCCTCTACATCCTTCCTCCTCCTGCCAGGGATGTGGTCTTCCACTGAGACCCCAGCCAGTTTGTCTGTCCCACTCACATTCACACCTGGGTCACTCAGAGGCTGCTTTTGCCCTGTGGCCCCCACCCTGGATGAGGCAGGGAGGCAACCAGCAGCTAGAGCAAAGGGGAAACCTCAAGGTGACTTTTCCTCTTCCCAGAACACAGCAACCAGCTGGCTAGGAACCAGTGATAAGGACGCCAGGGTGGGTTGGCCAAGCCGGGGCTGTTCCTGTACCTGGCACACCTGCGTCAAAAACCCCCTCCCCGACATGCACACCCCCAGCAGGACTGAGGGAGGAAGTCAGCCTGGGCCACAGTGACAGCATCGCCTCCAGATCCGACCAAAACCCACAAATAGACCCCTCATCGTCCTGCTCCCCCGATGTTCTACCCTTTTCTGACAAGATTTTCTGCTGTTCCTCTCATCAAGTCCTGGGAAAATTTGGAGGAGTTAAGTCATGGGGCAGCGGGTACAGGGGCAGATGGAGAAGGGAAAGCCAAAAAAAGGCAGAGTGCCCACTAGAGATGGCAGAGCAGGAAAGAGGCTCCTCTGGAATCATGGCAGTAATGATAATAGTCGGAGTTTATTGCATGCTTCCCACGGCCAGGTGCCGTTCCGAGCCTTTCGGTGTATCCACTCAGGCACTGTCTCTGCCTGAGCCCATCTCTGCCGCAGCCCATCTCTGCCTACAATATTTGGATGGTGTTGACAGAGACCTGGTCAGAAATGTGACTGGGAGGAGGTACCAGGGGTTTCTTTGGCATGAGCTCATTGGAGGAGAAATCCTGGAGAAACCCAGGCGGGGATCTGCTCCAGCCTGTGTCCCCCTCCCCACACAGGGTCTATTTTCTCTTTGCTTCCCCTCTCCCAGCTCCTCCACCTCACAGGACCCCTGCATCCCCTCTGCTCCAGATTTGACCCACTCTCCTGCCGGGGCATAGGAATGGTCCATGCACCCACATCTCCTGCCCTCTGCTCTCCCCGGCTCACCCCCTACTCCCCTTAAACCTCACAGCCCCTCCTCTAAGTCCCTCCAGCTCTTTGGGACCTGCCCCCCTTCCCTGCACAGTGGAGGAGGGGCAGGGTCACCCTTTTGTTTCTCAGTATTATCACATAGCACCTGCTATTTATCCCTGGCCCGGTGGGGGGATGGGAGGCTGTGGAGGGGTGGTGGGGGCAGGGCTCGTAGATACACACCTCTGGCAATAGGGCACTTGACTTTTTTTTCCAGCGATGCTGACATCACCTAGCAGGGCTGTTTGTTTGTTTAACTGGGGATCAGATTGTTATGTTCCCTATACCTGGCTCTCTTTCTTGCTCCCTCTTCCACTTTCCCGCCCCTAACCTAGCATTGTGAGACACCCTTTCTGAGGATTCCCTGGAAACCCCGTCCCTGCTAGTTCTCTGAGACCCCTCCTCCCCACCATGCCACTCACCCTTTTCCGCCACTCCCATCCCTCTTCCCTCCACCTCTTGTCCTCACTTGAAGGGCTGGCTGGGGATGAAGTAACCTTGCCTTCTACGTGCCACCCCACCTCAACCCCTTTCTTGGAATTAGGAAGTACGTTGAGGGCACCTCCTCACCAGGAGCTGGGGCAGTTCCTGTGGCTGCAGATTTGCAACTCTGGCCATCATAGTCCTGGGAAACCAAGGCCAGGAGGGAACCAGAGCCCTCAAGAGGAGTAACAGAACCCAGAGGTCCTGTCCCATCAGCTGGGGTGGCAAGGTCGCCAGGGTGGTTAGAAAGGGGCATTCTGGGTGCCACTCAGGGGAAAACATTGTCCTGGGATCAGCTTTGTCCCTGGAAGTTCTGAAACCCCTTCCAATAGGAACATCAGAGTTGGAACCAAGTGCAGTTTCTTTATCTGCAAAATGAGACAATTGGACGAATGTGGTCCTCAAGTTCTCTTCTACACAAAACTTTCTGACTCTGACTGGCTGCTGGGTTCTCCTCTTTACGCAAACTCAGAATTATGAAAGCTCCCAGAGCCTTCTCCCCTTCAGCATCCTATTTCTGGGATGGGCAGAGGGCATGGGAAAGAGACAGATTTGGTATTCCAGTAACGCAGAGGAGGCTTTTCCTCTATGAGCCTGTGTCAGAGGGGACTCCCTAGCATCTGGCGCCCCATCTGTCTGTGAGCCTGCCCAGAGGGGCAGGACTGGTCCTGAGTCACCTACCTGTTGCTCTCTGAAGGACTTCCGCCACCCCTGCCGCTTTCCTCCCAAAGGAAAAATGGCCAAAGCCAACACTAGTGTACAGGCTGGAGGGGTGCACGTGGAGATCCTGGGAGAAAGAGAAATCCTTCAGGGTTTCTTCAAGGTGGTCAGGAAAGGCTTCATAGGCAAGAAGGCGGAGGGAAAAGTGTTGGAGAGGAAGGAGAGGGAAGGAGGAGGAACTTCAACAGGTCTTAAGGATGGGCAAGTCTAGAAAGGCAGAAACGAGTCAGGGCACCTCAGGTAAGGAGGAAAGTGGGAACAGACACCCAGGCTTGTTTGGCGGGTGCAGAACAGACCAGCCCGGATGGTGTGGAGGGACCCGGCCAACAGATTTCCCGAATCCACCAATACGAGGCCAGAGGATAAAAAAACAAAAATGCCAAAATAAGGAGTTTGGGTCTCATCCTCCTGGAAATGAGGGAGATAGAGGTTTCGGAGCAGGGAGTTTAGGCTGGGTTGAAGCGGCATGGCTGGAGACCAGCAAATCAATTTTGCAATAGTCCAGGTGTGAGATAAGACTTGAAGATGGAGGTGATGGGACGGGGTGGGTGGAGGCATGGAGGCAATGGACAGGACAGAAGGACAAGAAGGAAGGAAGGGAGGGAGGGAGGAAGGAGGGAAACAACAACAGGATTTGATGAACAACTGAATGGAGGCTGAGGGGGAGGGAGAGGACAGGAACAAGGAAGGGGGTGGGCTGGGTGGCAGGAAGAAAGGTACCACTGAGGAAGTGGGGAAATCGCGGGGAGGAGAGCTGGGATAGTAGGGTTCAGCGGAATCAGATGCTAATAACTCCCTTCCCCGCAAACACACTACTGCAAGTTAGAGCCTTTGAAAGCAGCCTAGGAAGATGCTTCAGGGATCGCTGTCTGTTGGTTGGTGTGGAAGCAAGATCTCCCATCACCTCCTCTTCCAAAGGGCTCTTCTTTTCATTCAGCCCCCCTTGAAATTTTTGCCTTTTTTTTTTTTTTTTTTTTTTGTAGGTGGTCTGTTTAGTGGCCTGGGCTAGACTCCCCAAACCATAAGTCTTTTTCTGAAGCACGGTCTGGAGCTCGGATTCCTATGGGGGAGGTCATGCTCCCCACTCGTTGTGCCCCCCAGGCAAACCACCTGGACAACCAGACCCATGCAGACTCTGGAGCAGGTGGAGAGGAAGAGCCAGACCACCCCGCCTTATGGGCCGGTGAAGGGCCGGAAGCCTCTGAATAGTCTCTGCTAGGAGGTAGAAAGCACCCTCCCATCTTAATCATAGTAATCATCGCCACTACCATTTACTGGGTGCCTATAAAAGGCCAGCCTCCTCATACACATGATCTCACTTAATCCTCATAGCAACTGCCTGCGACTGTTATTATCCCCATTTACAGATGAAGAAACTGAATCTTTGAACCCAGGTTATCTGGCTCTCAAACTTGTGCTGTTTTCCTTAAGCCACCCTGTCTCTAATTTCTCCCACTAAAATGTCTCACATGCCATTGCCCTTACTCATTTCTGTCCATGTCTCCTCCAAAACACCATTTATCAATTCACTCAACAAGCATTTGTTGAGTACACTAAGGGCCAGGCGAGGGGCTGGGCACAGGCGCTGGGGGTAGGTTCATTCTCCCACCTCCCCTTCTGCTGGGTATCACCTGTGGGGTCTTGCTGGGCATCCCACCCTCACTTGTAGTTCACAGTGGACCTCGGGACCCCAAGACCAAATGAATAGAATGCACCAGCCCAGCCTTCACCAACGAGCACAATCTTATTCATAATAGAAACTCACATTTGCATCACACTTTACATTTTACACAACCCTTTCTTATCCATTAACTCATTTGATCTTCACAACAACCCTGTGAGATATGTCTGTTACCCCCACTTTACGGATACAGAATCTGAGGTTCAAAAAATAATGTTGCCCATTCTACCTCCTCAATAAAAGCAGGACTAACCCAGGCTCCTGGACCCTTCCACAAAAGGCATTAGGCAACCTGCTCCCCTCTGACAACTTCCCCTCTCACCCAGGCTCTCCTCTGGAAAGTTGGGGGTATCTCCAGCCCCCATGTAGTTACTCATTTTCAACCCCATCTCAAATCTTTTGCCAAACTGGCCACAGCCACCCCACAATCCCCACCTCCCAGATACAAATCCTCACTCTAAGCCTGCCCCATCTCTTTCTTCTCTGTCCTTTCTCTGTGGTCCTCTGAGCGACTTCTCCCAGCTCTGGGAGGTAGAGGGGAGGTGGGAGGCCCAGTAATTGGAAGAGGGAGGGGGAAAGGTTCCTACAGGGAACTCCTCAGGGGCCCTGGCACTCAGCTCTGCCCAACTCAGCTCCTGGAACGTCAGCGAGGTTGCGCAAAAGTGAGGAGGAGAGGAGCGGCAGTACAAAAGGGTGGGGGAAAGGTTAGGCACAGGAAGCCGTGGGAGAGAGCCGGCAGGTGGACCATCCTGGTTTCCCCACACACACCATTGTCCCCCTGGGAAACCTGTTGGTGAAGTTCTAGGTGTCTTATCCAAGAAGGGTCCTCCTGAGGTCATCTCAGCTATCCCCTTGCCTCCAGGCAAGTTGTTTTCTGTTTCTTCCAAACTGACTGGTTGAATGGTAGGAACCTTTCTGCCAGGGAAACTGAGGTCTGGGGAGGGAGTATGGCTTGTGGGGACACCAGAGGTCAGGGGAGAGTAGGGTCCACGTGCTGAATCAGGTGGGGACTCCTGCCCTCGTACTTCTACCTCCCCTTTGCCTGGTGCTCGGTGGGGGTGATGGTGACGTCACAGGTGTGGAGTCCCAGCCATGTACTGAGCGCCAAGCAAAACAGCCAGGGCGAGTGTATGCATCATCAGTGCCTGGGAAGGAAGGCCACTGCAAGAAGGGAGTCTGACGGAAAAACTTGACAGAGGGAAGGGAGGCACCTTGCTTTATCGGGGCGGGGAAGGCCAGAATAAAACTCGGCTGCTGCGAGGACCAGAGAGAGAAGGCCTGGGCTGGCACTGGAGAGGGATGTTCCCTCACTCTCCCCTCCTTTGCTTCTCCCAAAGCTTGTAAATGCCCCAGATATGAGCCAGCCCAGGCCCCGCTACGTGGTAGACAGAGCCGCATACTCTCTCACCCTCTTCGACGATGAGTTTGAGAAGAAGGACCGGACATACCCAGTGGGAGAGAAACTTCGCAATACCTTCAGGTAACTGGTCCAGAACCCAAACTCCTGCCTCCTCTGCTCCCCACCAAAATCCTTTCTGCACCAGGACACAGCTTCTGCACCAGCATCCCTAAGATGGGGTTAAGGGAAGCCCTGGGGAAGCGAGGTTCTGAATGATGAATTTAAGATCCTACAACCTCATCTGTACTGAGACCCCCAGGGAGGATGGGGAGCAGGAGCAAGAACCATCTAGAAGGGTTATAGGGCATCCCCAAACCCCTGCATGGCATCTCCCATATTCTCAATCCACCCGAGTCTCTCTGGGTTTGTTAAGGCACGGTAGATGAGCATGTTACATTATGAAGGGGTGGGGAGCATCAGAGCCTTTAATCCACACCCTGTTCCCTCCTTACAAAAAATACCTGAAGTTACCATCACCCCAAGCCCTTTGTCCTTTCCCTCCCGGATGTTCCTTCCTCCACTTGGTCCAGAGAATGCCAGAAGGAGGCCCTAAATTTCTGGACTTTCCTGAGGGGACCTACCAGGGTGTAGTCCTACCAGCGCCCAGGCTCTTTCCATTCTTAGCTCCCTGGAAATGCGATGGTGGGTATGAAACCTTGTCCATAAGGAGGTGCTACACAAGGTGATCCATACCCACACCCCAGGAGGCTGGGGCTGCGAACGTCACCCTCCCCCTTCCCAGACTCCTGGCAGACCTCCTCCGGCCTAGCTATAGGCCGGCTCACTCTCCCTCACTCCCCTAGGGAGACAGCTGATTCAGTTACCTGGATTGAGGTCACTGGTAATGGTTGAAGTGGAGACGCAGGTGGAACTGGTTCAGGCCAGGGGAATCACCCACTTGAGTTTTTACTAAAAGCCCCAGCCCAACCCTGTTTCTCTTGGGAGGCTCCATTTCTGCCCAGTTAGTCTGTCCTCACAGTTGTGCTCCTCAGACAGGTGGTCTCTGCCAGTCTCTGTGCCCAAAGACTTTAGGGCACAGAGTCCGAGGATGAGAAGATCTGCTAAAAGATTGGATAATGAAAGCTGTAAAGGGATATAGCAAACTAACAATTCCCATGATGCTGGCATGACAGCCTTGAACAGTGTCTGGCATAGAGAAGGTGCACCAATAAATATTTGTTTCATGAATGAATGAATGAATGTCTAGAAAGCTAATCCCTCTCAGCCTCTGTGTCCAGCTCTTCTTTCAAGCTTCAGATTGCTTTGCCCAACATACAGCAGACTTGCAAGTAAGGTTGGGCATGGACTAGCCCTCAAATGAGTTGCTTTTCTTTCCCTAGCCAGCTCTCTATTCATAAGTACGGCTTTCTCTGCCACAAGCAGACCTGATGGAGCCCCTGCAGGGCTGGTTCTCTCTTCGAGCAACGCTTTAGAGTTGCATTAAGCAATTTATGCCCCATCTACCTCCCCTTCCAGCATCCCAGGAATGGCAGAGGCACCCATGAGCCCCAGAAGGGACAGGGGCCTGTAAGATATTGATGATGATGCTGTTTCATGGAGTGTTAGTTGGAAAAGAAAATCTGCCCAGACTTTCCAAGGTACAAAGCATTGTCTTTGTTGGTTTCAGTCTTGGGTGACATCCAGGGGACCAAGTGTCAGGGAATCTATTGTTGAACAACAGCAAAGAGCAGGAATTTGGTGCTGGGCAGGAAAAGAAGCCTCATCAGAGCAGGCCAGTGAGTCACCAGATGGGCCCTAAGTATTTGAGTTCCCTCAACTGGGAGAAGGAAAGCAAATGCCCCTCACCCACTTCCAGTCATCAATCCACCGGCTGTCACCCTTGAGTTTGTAAGCCCTTGTTCCTACCGCTCCTGGGTTTCTATGAAAGGACCTTGAGGTGTTCGACAAACAGGGAAGGAATCAACTCTCCCCACCCTGCGTTGACCAGCGAATTAATCCCTCCTCTGCTGCCCAGTGAATTCACAGGAGAAAGAACTCCGGTATTGGAGTTACCACACATACAGGATAGTGAGTCAGCAGAGTTCACCCTGCAGGAACAATAGAGCCTTCCTTTTCAAGGAAGTTCTAAGAAAAATGGCAGCAGGCAGACCCCACTCAGATGTATTCACTCATTCATTTATTCAACAAATATTTACTAAGTGCCCCTGTGCAAGGTTCAAGGTGTACAAGGATGAACAGGAGAGCTAGACTTTTGCCATGTGTGGTGGGGTTTGCTGCCTAGTGGGAGAGACAGACAAAAAGCAAGGAATGCACACACAGGATGCACACACAGCAGCAAGAGCCAAGGTACAGGTACCCAGGCCTGGAATCAGACAGACAGCACTCGGAGGAGCCTTTCCCAGAGAAAAGCCATCTGAGCCAGGAGACGGATCTGATACCTCCGAAGACTGAGCCACCACAACACCCATACCTTTAAGCCAAGTCTTGTAAACTCCCCAGGTAAGGAGCTGGCAGTCAGAAGACCTCCAGCTAATGCCCAGGGCAAGTTGACGACCTCTTAAGAAAAAGTTCCTGCCTTTTCTTCTCAGTATCCCTGGCACACAGTTCAGTGAATTTTGAATGAACCAATGAATGAAATGAGCAGGATATGATAATCCCTCTCCAACATGGAATGTCCAAGCCATGCAGAGCCAACTGGAAATTTTCCCCTTTCCCCTCCAGATGTTCCTCAGCCAAGATCAAAGCTGTGGTGTTTGGGCTGCTGCCTGTGCTCTCCTGGCTCCCCAAGTACAAGATTAAAGACTACATCGTTCCCGACCTGCTTGGTGGACTCAGCGGGGGATCCATCCAGGTCCCACAAGGTGAAGGGGCCCCCTTAGCCAGACCTGGATTGCCACTTCCCCAACCATTCCTCTCCATCCCCACTCCATCCTTCTGTGATCCCCATAAGTCAGTCGTGCTGCTGAGCTTCAATCTCGTTGTCCTCTGCAGGCATGGCATTTGCTCTGCTGGCCAACCTTCCTGCAGTCAATGGCCTCTACTCCTCCTTCTTCCCCCTCCTGACCTACTTCTTCCTGGGGGGAGTGCACCAGATGGTGCCAGGTAAGGCCTCTCCCCTCTGGGCAGGCAGGATGACCCAGACCACAAGGATGGGAGGTGTGGCAAAGGGGGCTGGGGAGACTTTCCACCTGCATTCTCCTAGAATTGTTGTCGTCAGTCCTAGGGGAATGGTCGCTGTGAATGTCAGTCCCAGGTCCTGGGTGACCTTGGGGAAACCACTGAGCCTCTTTGAGTTCAGTTAGCATTACCTGTTCCATCTTCCCCCCAGGAATGAGAGGAAGGCTTGGCAGAATAAGATATACCATATGCTATACCATGCTTAAACAGATGTGAGAAATCACCATCTAACTCCCTGGCTGGTCCCAGCCGGCCACTACAGGGACATTTGTACTTCTCTGGTGCTAAGTGAGATGGAGAAAAGCCTGGTCACAAGCGCTGGTTTCTGGTTCAGGCTCTGCTTATATTTATTTCTGAGTTCATTTCTTCACGCACCTGATAAGACAATATTGACCGTTGAGGTGAAAGCACCTTGAAAAGCATAGATCATGGTTAGAGTGAGTGGTTGTTTTTATTATGATGGAGAAGAGCCTTGGAGGTGCAGGGACCCATCCCCCTGGGGGTCGGGAAGCGTTTCTGGGCCCCTCTCTGGTTTCCATGGGTGTGGTCCAAACCTCTGATTTTTGCTGGCTGGGTGGGGCACCACAGGTACCTTTGCCGTTATCAGCATCCTGGTGGGTAACATCTGTCTGCAGCTGGCCCCAGAGTCGAAATTCCAGGTCTTCAACAATGCCACCAATGAGAGCTATGTGGACACAGCAGCCATGGAGGCAGAGAGGCTGCACGTGTCAGCTACGCTAGCCTGCCTCACTGCCATCATCCAGGTGAGGGGGCAGCCCCCAACCCTGCTAGGAAGGCATCAGACCACCCTGCCCCTGCCTCAAAGCCTTAGCTTTGATGCTAAATCTGATTTAGGGGGCTGAGCGTGGAGGCTCATGCCTGTAATCCCAGCACTTTAGGAGGCTGAGGTGGGCGGATCCCTTGAGGTCAGGAGTTTGAGATCAGCTTGACCAACATGATGAAACCCCATCTCTACTAAATATACAAAAATAAGCCAGGCTTGGTGATGTGCACCTGTAATCCCAGGTACTCAGGAGGCTGAGGCAGAAGAATCACTTGAATCCGGGAGGCAGAGGTTGCAGTGAGCTGAGATCACGCCACTGCACTTCAGCCTGGGTGACAGAGCGAGACTCTGTCTCAAAAAAAAAAAAAAAAAAAAAAAAATCCAAGTTAGGGCTCTACCTTCTCCTTCCTCCCCATCCCAGGGCTAAAGTGAACCTTGAAAATTAACAGTGTCTCCTACCTGCATCTAGCAGGACCATGCAAAAAAAAAAAAAAACAACAGCTGCACCTGGTAAAACTGTCCTGAGCTTTAAAACTGTCTAAAAGACTCACCGCCTCTCTCCATTATCCCGTGGAGAAACCCAACTCTCTGCCAGCGCAGTCTTGCAGACTGCTGCTTTTCTCTAACATCCCTCACCCTGCTGCAGCCTCCTCTGCTCCAAGCCACAGCAGCAGTTGCACAACATAAATTGAGCTTCCACAAAGGGTTGCAAAGGATTCTGCTAGGTTTTATGAAGGGAAGCACCACATGACAGAATGCAAGAGCAAAACGCAGTCCCAGAGAGCACCTTTCCATTCACTCATTCATTCAGTTTTTTGCCAAGAACTAGGCTAAACCCTGGGATACAAAGATAAGTAAGAAAGAGGTCCAATTCACAAGCTGCTCACAGCGCAGCAGAGGAAGGAGCCATGTCAACAGATAAATTTGTATGCAGTGAGATAAGCAGCAAAGTAGAGCTATGCACAAAGAACTGTAGGAACACAGAGCAGAGAGTCACGGAGGACCTCAAAGAGGAGGTGACACTCCACCTGTCTTAAAGGATGAGAAGCTAACCGGGAACAAGATATACAGAGGATGGTCCAGGCAGAGGGAACAGTGCCTAAAAACACTGAGGCCTGAGAGAGTGTGATCTGCCCAGGGAAAGCAAGGAGGTTGGTGTGGCTGGAGGGTAGAGGGCCCCAGAAGAGGATGGAAAAGTAGGCAGGAGCCAGACAATGAAATCTGGGGTCTGTCCTCTAAACGGCAGCTTTGGGTCTGATTAGCAGTTTATAAGGATCATTTCGGCTGCACAGAGAATGAAGAGTGGGAGGTGGATTAGAATCAAGGCAGGGAACCTGTTGGGAGACTCCACAGAGGCCCAGGCGGGAGTAATGCAGGCCAAGACCACGTAGAGAAAGAGATGGGGCTGGACTTGAAAAGAACATTTTACCAGAAGCTTGGTGATAGATTGGATGTGGGAGGTAAGGGAGGATGACTCTCAAGTTTTTGGTTGGGCAACCAGGTTAATGATGGTGTCATTTACTGAGAGAGAAAACACTGGGGGAGGACCAGACTTATTTTACAGATAAGGAAGCCAAAGCCAGAGAGGTGATGTAACAAAAAAAAAGGCCCATGCTCTAAAGGAACTGAAGGTCTAATGGCAGGCATGTAAAGCACAGTGAAGGGCAGGTGAAGGTCACAGATGGCTCATTTCCCTGAAGCTACTGCTATCCTAGGACTGCACACAGCTCCAGACCTAGGTGAGGGTGGGGCGGGTTGTTGGAACTGCTGAACCACATGGGTCTTCCCCCACCAACCACCTTTTTCCTCCTCTCAGATAGGCCTGGGCTTCATGCAGTTTGGCTTTGTGGCCATCTACCTCTCCGAATCCTTCATCCGGGGCTTCATGACGGCCGCCGGCCTACAGATCCTGATTTCAGTGCTCAAGTACATCTTCGGACTGACCATTCCCTCCTACGCAGGCCCAGGGTCCATCGTCTTTGTGAGTCTGGGGGTGCACCCCTGCCAACGGGGCAAGGCTCCAGCAGACACACGAGGAGGCTGTACTGTTTTAAGATGTTGTGAGCTCCTCATTGCAAGGGCTGGCTTAGCTGTTGTTCAGAGAGGATTCTGAGGGGGTTTCTGTCTTGGGAGGGTCAAAGTCATGACCTTGAGGTTCTTGGTAGTTAATCCCTGCAGAAAAGAGCTGTATCTTCTCCACCAGTTCCCCATTCTACTGCCTCAACCCCTCCCTGCCTGGAAAGTCCTTCTTTATGTCTAATCTCCATCCCTCCTTCTTTAGCTCAAAGTCTTCTAAAGAAAAAGAAAGCATTCCTTTTCTAGCACGAGTTACCCATATGCCTTTTGGGAGAGGGCGGTGGATGAAGGGACAGTGTTCCTGATCTGGGTTTTAATTCTGTCTTGGTGTGCCTCCATTAGCTTTGATGGCATCCCTTCCCTGGGTCAGACACCTAAAGGTGGGGTAGTATAGGAAGAAGGGGTGGGAGCCTGTGAGCATGATGCTCTTTCCCCCAGACCTTCATTGACATTTGCAAAAACCTCCCCCACACCAACATCGCCTCGCTCATCTTCGCCCTCATCAGCGGTGTCTTCCTGGTGCTGGTGAAGGAGCTCAATGCTCGCTACATGCACAAGATCCGCTTCCCCATCCCTACAGAGATGATTGTGGTAAGGACCGTGTCCAGAGCTGCGGTGTTGGGGGGCCAGGCTGTGAGACAAGGAAGCCGCTACCCTTCCTCACTCCATCCCCCCACTGGCAGCCAGTGGGACAGAAAGTCAGATGTGAATCCATCCCATCCGCCATATGTGGCGTTTCCTCTCTTTCTACTGCTCTAATAATTCCCCCTAATGAGGCAGGGGAGTGGGATTCAGGGTCCCCAGAGAAAAGGGAGACTTGAGAGAGACCCCTGCCCTGGCCCCAACTTAGGGCTAATCCCCACTCTCCACTCTGGGGTTTGCAGGTGGTGGTGGCAACAGCTATCTCCGGGGGCTGTAAGATGCCCAAAAAGTATCACATGCAGATCGTGGGAGAAATCCAACGCGGGTGAGTCCAGGTGGCCAGAGGCCTGGCCCACCCGCACCACATGCCCCACTCAGGCCTGAGCTCAGAGAGGGAGACAAGATGAACTCTGTGAAAGTGCTGTCGAAACTGTATGACACTGGCCATGTCTGAATTCTTACTATTACTGTTTCCTGAGAAGGGCCACACAACCAGCCAATGTAGGCTATTTTATGAAAAATGAGTCTTAACTGCCACACTCCCCTTATAAATCTCATTCAACTGATGCTGTTAAACAAAGCCTCTCTGATTAGCCCCTTGCTGGCTCTTTGCCTTGCTCTAATGCATTAGTTCTTTGTCCATGCAGAAAGGGAGCTATTAGGTTCAACCAGATTCATGAAGCATCCACTCGGTGCCAGGCACCATGCTGGGCCCTGGGAAGAGAAGGGCGATGCTTGTCCTGCAGGGTTGGAGCAGGCACGGGAGGGAAGGCCACACAGCACCAAAGGTCTAGGGGTCTGTGGACTCATGAGCGTGCAGGGTTCAGAATCTGGGAGTTAACAAACGAGGCCCTACCACGTACTGGCCCAGGGACTTTGGGCAAGTTGGTTCTCTAAGCTCCGTTTCCTCCTTTGTAAAACAGGAGTGATGGTCCCTACCCTATGGGGTGGTGCTGAGGATTCAGACTGCATGGGATAACTTAGGCAAAGATTCCGGCACACCATGGGGGCCTGGCTGGTCCTTGTGGGCTGGTGAAGGACTTGGCTGCCCTCCCTACTCACACCCTTGGGCTCTGCCTCCTTCCGGGCTCCTCGGCAGGTTCCCCACCCCGGTGTCACCTGTGGTCTCGCAGTGGAAGGACATGATAGGCACAGCCTTCTCCCTAGCCATCGTGGGCTATGTCATCAACCTGGCTATGGGCCGGACCCTGGCCAACAAGCACGGCTACGACGTGGATTCGAACCAGGTAGCTCCGGCCACTCCTGGCAGGACTGGGCAGGATGGGTCAACTCAGGCCTGGCATGAGGTATCTTGGGTGGGGTGCTCATTGGACTGAGGTGAGGCATGCTGCCTTGAGTGTGGGGGATAGGGGGTCCTCTGACCCCAAGAGGCTGACGTCCTCTTGACTGGGAATGTGTGACTTTATAGCCACAGGGTCACTCTCAGGTCCTAGGCCCACAATCCAGCTTGCATGCCTGACTGCACTTGGTCCCTGTGCCCCCCAGACCCACACTGGCTTCTAATCCTGTCCCCTCCTGACAGGAGATGATCGCCCTGGGCTGCAGCAACTTCTTTGGCTCCTTCTTTAAAATTCATGTCATTTGCTGTGCACTTTCCGTCACTCTGGCTGTGGATGGAGCTGGAGGAAAATCCCAGGTGAGCCTTGTTCTAGGGGAGTGGTGGGGAGGTGGTAACAGAACGGTTGCCCCAGAGAAGCCTGGGCACTGCAAGCTAGGCCAGCTCTTCTCCAACCCCCTTCTTCCCTTCTTAGTCTCCACTCCACCAAAGCCATGGATTGTAAATAAATCAAGAGCAAAGAATTCACACCTATCCTCTATCCCCAACTCTTTCTCGGAATAGGTGGCAAGCCTGTGTGTGTCTCTGGTGGTGATGATCACCATGCTGGTCCTGGGGACCTATCTGTATCCTCTCCCCAAGGTAAGAGCCCAACCATCGAGCAGAGGACAGCGAGAGACTCCAATAAGAACAATCCCTGAGAGTTGTGTGGCACTTTACAGACTACAAAGTGCCACCGTTGTCATACATAGTCTCAACCACAACCTGTGAGGTAGACAGTGCAGGTTTTATCCTCCCCATTTTGTAGGTGAAGGAAACTGAGTCTGAAAGTCTAAGTAACCTTGTCCATAGTGAGGCAGCTCACAGTGCAGGGCTGGTCCCACACTCCAGCCTTCTGGCCTCAGAGTCTAATCCCTAGGCAGCATTTGCACCTACCCATGAGTACCGGGCTCTCATATAGCCCAGCTAGGAGGGCTCTAGGCATGTGTCATTTAGGGATGAGGGGAGAGAGATAGGGCAAGGATGGAGCCAGGAAGGACCTCATGGCTCTAACGCCAGCACTTTCCACACCTAAGGGCGAATGCAGCCATTTGGGGGATCAGCCAGGGGAGGTGTTCCAGAACTCCATCTCTGTCCTGCCAGGCTTCGGGGTCGGGTATGCGCAGGAGGGCAAAAAGAAGGGGAAACCCTGGGGGCCTGGAGCAATGTTCTGCTTCTCTAGTCTGTGCTAGGAGCCCTGATCGCTGTCAATCTCAAGAACTCCCTCAAGCAACTCACTGACCCCTACTACCTGTGGAGGAAGAGCAAGTTGGACTGTGTAAGTATCGGGCAGCCTCTGGGTACCGGCCATGCCCCTGCCCTCTCCTCCAACCCCACAGCCCTGTCAGTTAGCCCTGTCCTAACAATGAACTCTCTAGTCTGCTGCTTCCTAATTAGCATAGCTGAGTGGTTAAAAGTCCAAGTTTCGAAGTGAAACATCCTATGTTCAAACCCTCACTCAGCCATCTGCTGGCTCCGTGGCCAATAGTAAGCCCCCTAACCTTTCTGAGTCTTGGCGTCTTAATTGGGGAAATGGTTATTTTGTACTCTCTGCCTCCCAGGGTTTTCTATGAAGAAGAAGCAAGGTAATACAAGTAAACATGTTGTCTACATCATATTTTATACTCAACAAAGCTTATCTATGACTACTTTATGACATATAGCTCCAAAAAAGCAAAAGGAAATAGTTTAAAAAAAAAAACAAACAAACCTAGAACATAAAGCCAGAGGACCAAAACCTTCAGGAAGTTACTAGACTTCCCTGGGGTTCTATTTCCTCATCTGTAAATGGGGGTGAGACTTATGCAGTCACGGTTGCGTCAAACGCTGGTTCCGAGGATTAAATGAGATCACAGTGGGAAAACACCACACGGGCACAAACATTCTGCAAACATGACTTATTGTTATGATTAGTCAGACACTCCACCGCATCTTCCTCTGGGCATAGTCACGAAGACCAGTGTACATTGACGACACTGCATTCTCTCCATTTTAAGCCCTATCATAACCTATGGGAGAGGATTTACTAACCTTTCTTAACGATGATGAAACCAAGGCTCAGAATGGTTAAGTAAATCATCAGAGGTAGGAAGTGGTAGAGTCTGGATTAAAACTCCAAGTCTTGGACTCCAGACCTCCAGGCTGTGCTGTCTCATAGGGAAGGGAGGCTCACCCATCGAAGGCAGGGAAGAAAATCCTTAAAGCCAGAGAAGTGAGTGGCTCATCTGTGGTCACCCAGGGAGAGAGAGTGATGAGGACAGGGAGAAAAATTATACCTCAGTTCCCAGCCCAAGGATCTGCTTTGACCATAGCCCTACAAGCTCCTGCTATGGCAGTATTTCCTTAGGTTCACATGGCGGCTTGTGTTTCCATTTGATCTTCACAGCAATTCTCTACAGGAATCTGGGCAGATTTATTTCCTTTAGAGGAATTTGTGGGTCTTAAAATCTACAGGGGGCAACTATCAAAACTTCACCCAATGTTGCCCCCCACCCACACACAATGAGGCCCCCAGTCGATCAGAAAGCACTGCTGAGCTCCTGCCAGGGCCCACGCAGCTTGCTATTAGACAGAGAGAGGGAGCTCACATTTATTGGTCACCCACTGAGCATCCATCACTAGGCCAGGACCGTCACTTTCCTTAACATTTGAATCCTTTCATAAGGTAGGCGTTATTATTCTCCTTTTGTTTCACATAGCCATTAAAGAACAAAACTTTGGGCAGGGTGCAGTGACTTACACCTGTGATCTAGCACTTTAGGAGGCTGAGGCAGGAGAATTGCTTGAGGTAAGGAGTTCAAGGTCAGCTTGGGCAGCATAGCGAGAGCCATCTCTAGAAAAATAAAAAGTTAGCTGGGTGTGGTGGTACGTGGCTATAGTCCTAACTACTCAGGAAGGTAAGGCCGGAGCACAACTTGGGTTCACGAGTTTGAGGCTGCAGTGAGCTGATCTTGCCACTGCACTATAGCCTGAGCAACAGAGAAAGACCCTCTGACTCCAAAAACAAACAAACACACACGTTTTGAACCCAAGCAGATCTGACCCCAGCTGCATGCTCTTATAGATGCTGCCTCCCTGTGTGCTGGGGCTTCTGTTAAAAACACAGACAAGATTCGGCAACCACAGTCAATCTAAGGGAAACAGGAAAGTGTAACTGAAGCACAAATAACATAAAATAATGCAAAAACGCAATTTTAAAAAAAAGAGAAGAAAGGCTCTGAGGTTTTACTAGCAGAGAATGGCCTTGGCTAATCCAGGAAGACTTCCTGAAAGAGGTCGTGTTTTCCCCAGGTCTGCTTTTGACATCTCTCTTTTTACAGTGCATCTGGGTAGTGAGCTTCCTCTCCTCCTTCTTCCTCAGCCTGCCCTATGGTGTGGCAGTGGGTGTCGCCTTCTCCGTCCTGGTTGTGGTCTTCCAGACTCAGTTGTAAGTAATAGCTTCCGCCCTCCCAGCTCCATAGTCGGGTCCCTGGGCCAGCCCTCGGAAGGCTACCATGCCACAGCCTGGCTTAGTCCACTGTACCTTCCACCTCTGGGCCTGGCACGGGAGTTGCTGCCAGGCCCAAGGAGAGCCCAACCCAGCCAGGACTGTGGGCACAGGCTGGGCTGTTTGACTTCCCATATCCTGAAAAACCCAGAGGAAGCCAGCATAGTCTTGCTGGGGACGGCTGGGGAGAAGGTGGTGGCAGAGAAAGGAGGGCAAGAGCAGGTGGTGAGATTCAACATCCTTCCAAAGACACTGCCAGAACCTCAAACCAAATGGGACCCCACCCCAGGAGAGTGCCAGGGTAGAAGACAGAAGCTGTGTTCTACACACTGGGAGTATCACAGAGAAAGGGTCCTGGCCAAGGCAGGGAGGATGCTGAATGTTGGGGGAATCTATCTTCTCTTCTTGACAACTCAGAACAAGGAAGTGATGACTTCAGGGCAACTGAACCTTGTCACCTTGTGTGCTCCCACCACTTCACTTCCCTGCCCTCTGGTCTGGAAGCTATGTCAAGGGCCTGCCTGTCATCCTCCTAGTTATAGGAGGCCACAGGCCACCAGACATGTGTCTCCAGTGCAGAAAGACAGACACAGCAAGTCTGGGGGTGAGGACAGGACCCCATCCTACCTTGGCTCTGCCCCGGCTCCAGCAGGAGCACCCTTCCGGGCCCATGGGCCATGAACATTCTCTTATGTTTTTCTCTTCCTTCTTCATCCAGTCGAAATGGCTATGCGCTGGCCCAGGTCATGGACACAGACATTTATGTGAATCCCAAGACCTACAGTAGGGTAGGTGATTCAAGCTTATGACCTCCTTCTTTTACTCTGCACCACCCCAAGAAGAGGTTGTTTTTTAAAGCCAATAAAGACATTTCTGCAACTTGAGCTCAGTCTCCCTGTCACAGGCCCAGGATATCCAGGGGATTAAAATCATCACTTACTGCTCCCCTCTCTACTTTGCCAACTCAGAGATCTTCAGGCAAAAGGTCATTGCCAAGGTAAGGCTCAGTGCCTGGGGAACAGAGGCCCTGGACAGAGAGTGGCCAGAAGATGGAAGCAAAAGGGTGGTGGGAGCTGAAAACAGGTCACTCCCATAGAGGATGGAGGTCAAGATTGCTATTGGCTCTCTCCCTACAGACAGGCATGGACCCCCAGAAAGTATTACTAGCCAAGCAAAAATACCTCAAGAAGCAGAAGCGGAGAATGAGGCCCACACAACAGAGGAGGTCTCTATTCATGAAAACCAAGGTGAACAGAGGCCAGAAGCAGCCCCCGTGCCCTGCTCCCCTGCCCATTCTGATATTGCCTCCTGTTATTCATGGTACCCCGGGGACCCCACTTCCCACCCTGACAGGCAAAGACAGAAAGTCTCTGGGAACACTGGTGGCCGCTGGGCATTTTTCTTCTTCTTTTTTTTCCCTTTTATTTTTTAGAGACGGAGTTTTGCTCTTGTCACACAGGCTTGAGTGCAATGGTGTGATCTTGGCTCACTGCAGCCTCCACCTCTGGGTTTCAAGCAATTCTCCTGCCTTAGCCTCCCAAGTGGCTGGGATTACAGGTGCCACCATGCCCGGCTAATTTTTGTATTTTTGGTAGAGACGGGGTTTCACCATGTTGGCCAGGCTGGTGTCAAACTCCTGACCTCAGGTGATTCACCCACCTCAGTCTCCCAAAGTGCTGGGATTACAGGCCTGAGCCACTGCACCCAGCCTGGGCATTTTTCTTCTTGGATGAGGTGCTACCATCTCCCAGGGAAGCCACTGAACCCCCACGGCCCTTCTCCATTTTCTGGCTCAGATAGGATATGGCCCATGGACTTTTGAACAACCCAGAGGGGGAGCAGCAGTGAATTTCCTGGGGAACCTAGGCAGCCCAGGGCTAGCAAGGCCTGGGGAGTGGGGGGCATGGGAGTAATCCTTGTAATCCCAGCACTTTGGGAGGCCGAGGTGGGTGAATCACTTGAGGTCAGGAGTTTGAGACCAACCTGCCCAACATGGCAAAACCCTGTCTCTACTAAAAATACACAAAAATTAGCCAGGCGTGGTGGTGGGCACTGTAATCCCAGTTATTCGGGAGGCTGAGGCACGAGAATCACTTGAACCCCGGAGGCAGAGGTTGCAGTGAGCTGAGATAGTGCCACTGCACTCCAGCCTGGGCAACAGAGGGAGACTCTGTCTTAAGAAATAAAGGAGCTCAGTGTCCCCGGAGGGGCTTTCCCCCGGACAGGGTGGGCTGAGGCTTCAGTGCCTCTCTTGGCTGGGTCCTCTCACTTTGTCTGGGTTGTAGGAGACTAAGTTTGCAGGCCCTGCCCAAAAAGGGGCTTTGGGAGAGGCCTCTCTGGTGGAGCTTTCAGGGTCTGTGTTCACCATCACCGAGGAGAGTTATTCCCCTCCACCTACACCCTCCATGCCCCTGCTTCAGCCACAGCAAGGTCTGGCTCAGTCTGGTGGTCCCTGACTCTGCCCACCATCTCCACCCCTCCAGACCGTCTCCCTGCAGGAGCTGCAGCAGGACTTTGAAAACGCGTCCCCTACTGACCCCAACAACAACCAGACGCAGGCTAACGGCACCAGTGTGTCCTACATCACCTTCAGCCCCGACAGCTCCTCAGCTGCCCAGAGTGAGCCACCAGCCTCTGCTGAGGCCCCCGGCGAGCCCAGTGACACTCTGGCCAGTGTCCCGCCCTTCGTCACCTTCCACACCCTCATCCTGGACATGAGTGGAGTCAGCTTTGTGGACTTGATGGGCATCAAGACCCTGGCCAAGGTGAGCTCTCGGGGGCAGCAAGCACTACCTGCTCCGCCCACTCTGCTCTGCTCTCCACATTCCCTTTCCTGGGAGCCCTCATTTCAGGAAGCTGAGGGAGGAAGCTCACCACGGAGGCTAAAGGCTCCTAGGAATCCCTCCTTTCCCCAGACGCTACCAGGATGGGACATTCTCCACAAAGCAGGCCCAGACGGCCCGTGACAATGACTGGCTAGAGAGGTCTACCAGAGCTTCAGGCCCCCATGCTCCCAACGCCCCCAGCAGTGACCATCCCAAGTCCCTCTCAGCCACCAAGAACCCACCCAGGGTCTCTGAATAGGGTTCAGTTTGGCGCCTGGTTCATGATCTGCTGCCCTTGTCCCTCATTCACTGGCCAGCCTAGGAGAGAGGAAGAAATAACACCAGCGCCCCACACCATCAGGCCAAACAGACAGCCCACGGGACACCTTGAATGAATGTATCTATCTGATAACTTTCCAGCAGCCACCACCAATGGCAGGAGTCAGCAAACCTCAGAGCTGGCTCAGATAGAGGCAAGCCAGGCGAACAATGGGCACAAAGAGTGTTCGGACTGATGTCACCATCAACCAGGCTCAGGGCAGGCCCCATACCCAGCCTTGGGCCTCAGCTGGCTTCCTTAGCCGGGATCTGGAGTCCAGGCCAGCCTTGGCTGAAGCTCTTGATTCCCTGAGCCTCCGTCCTCCCCTCCAGCTTCTGTCTGAAGCCACAAAGGAATCTGGGAATCTAAGCTACTGAAAGAAAAGATCAGCTGGGCGTGGTGGCTCACGCCTGTAATCCCAGCACTTTGGGAGGTCAAGGCAGGTGGATCACAAGGTCAGGAGTTCGAGAGCAGCCTGGCCAACATGGTGAAACCCCATCTCTACTAAAAATACAAAAATTATCCAGGTGTGGTGGCAGGTGCCTGTAGTCCCAGCTACTCCGGAGGCTGAGGCAGAAAATTGCTTGAAGCCAGGAGGTGGAGGTTGCAGTGAGCCGAGATCGCGCCACTGCACTCCAGCCTGGGTGACAGAGAGAAACTCCATCTCAAAAGAAAAAAAAAGAAAAGATCTAGCCCCACAAGAAGGGGCCATGGTGACTTTAAGTGCCTGCCACATTGGCAAAACTCCATTTCCGCCCCCCTTCCCAGAGGAGCCGTCAGCCAGCACTCCAGGGAGAAGCGGTGTGCTTTGCTGCTATTTTCGTCTTTGGCTGCTGGGCTCTCGGGGTTGCTTATTTGTTTGGCTTCCCCTCTGAAGTACGTTTCGTGAATCACTTTTGAGACCCACTCAGAACATTCCTTTCCTTTTGCCTCCCTACCCCAACACTTCTAGCTGAGCTCCACCTATGGGAAGATTGGCGTGAAGGTCTTCTTGGTGAACATCCACGGTAAGACAAAGAGAACATTTAGGGACTGAAAGGCTGGCAAGGAGTGTGGGGTAGGAACAGTTGGTGGGGTCTGAATAGTGAGGAGCTTGGAAATGAGAGCACCCAGATATCCTCCCCAAGCTGCTGCCTGCTCATAAGAGCTTCAGGTACAAGTCCAAAGAGACTGATCAGATTGTATAAACATCCTAGGGACCTTAGTGACAGAGTGAGGGTAAGGGGGTCATGGAGTTACAAAAGGACAGCTAGGATTCTAATCTACCCCACAACTAATTTGCCATGTATCCTTGGCTGAGTCACTTTATCTATCAAGGGATCTATCTCTACCTATGTAAAACAAGAGGGCTGACTAGATGGATTTGAGGATCCTCTCCCAATCAGAAACTCTGTGAATCTATATAGGCATAGAGCACACAATACCCTGATTCCCCAGGGAACGTATAAATATGCAGTTTTGTAGGCACACAGCCTCCAAAGGGTGCATATACACAGCCTCAAGGATGTGGCCACAGAGCAACAGACATTTACATTATTAGCATGTATGCAAAGTGCAGACATGTGGGAGCAAGTGCACACAGACACACAGGAGAATGTGAAGGGGCACATACATACACCCCCAGCTCCCTGCGCTGGGTCAGACCCCCTCCAGCAGGGCTGCAGGTCCCAAGCTCCACATGGCCATGCTCAGGGAGAGAATCTGCAGTGGCAATGACCTGCTATGATATGCTCTGGAGTAAGAAGCAGTGGATTCTCCCCAACCTCACTGGACACCCCCTCAAGAAACCATCTCTAGGATTAAGAGTAATGGTTCTGCCACACATTGGAAGTTGCTGGAAAGGTCTGGGAAAACAAGAGGAAGGATGGGTCCTTGGGGGATAGAACTGGCAGTGGCCTCCTCAAGGATGGCTTAGGCTTTTCCACTCGAATCACCACAAAGTACTGACTCCCTAAATCAAACTGCTTCCCTCTGGCCTGGGTTGAACGTTCAGCATCCTCAAGTTCATGTCGCCCTCTGCTGTCCAGAGCTGATATTGCACTGCCAATGCCATGGCCCTCAGATACAGCAAGAGCTCAGACCTCAGGCCTCTCCCATCCCTGCTCTGGTCTCACCATCTTCCCCACCCCCAGCTCCAATCCACAATGGCTGTTATCTTTCTGAAGGTGATCTTTTCTCCTTCTAGCCCAGGTGTACAATGACATTAGCCATGGAGGCGTCTTTGAGGATGGGAGTCTAGAATGCAAGCACGTCTTTCCCAGCATACACGATGCAGTCCTCTTTGCCCAGGCAAATGCCAGAGATGTGACTCCAGGACACAATTTCCAAGGGGTAAGGTCCTTGCATCTGGGGAATCCTAGGCTCCAAGGCACTGAAATAGCAGGACCAAGACGTATTAGAAAGAACACAAGAGAAGGTTTAAGTTCCAATATCAAGTCTGCCATTTCAGTTTTCTGAATCTCAGTTTCCTCATCTGTAGAAGGAGCACCATCAACTAACATTACCTACCTCTCTGCATTTTTCTTTTGTTTTGTTTTAGGGTTAAATGATAATTACATCTTTTGTGTCACTTGAAAGTGCTTTGCGTATTGTAAAAATTCTTTATCAATATAAATTTTCTGGTTGCACAAACACCCAAAGCGTAGAAGAGCAGGCCCACTCTGCTGGCATCGTTTCCTGCCTCCTCCACATCTCTTTCTAATGGGGGCTTTGGGGAAGGAAGGGGAGGGGAGTAAGCCTACCCATTTTAACTTACCAGAGCTTAGAGATTTCAGGCTGATGAGGGATGAAGAGATTGGGTCTGAGTTTTATCTCAGCTTTTCGACATTTAATTTACTAGATCAGTAAGTGACATACAAATGGGATACAAATAACAGCATCTAAAACTCCAGAAGGCTGAGGAGTCAGAAAAAGCCCACGCCCTTGGGGTCCCTGCCTAGGTATCCCCAGTCATCTCTCAGCCTTCAGGGTCCCCTCCCAGCTCAGCTCCTGCCCTTGGCCTCCCAAGACTCTGTTTGTGCCCTAGCCCTGGATAAAAACCTCCCCCGCCCTCTGTGGGTCATAAGAAAGGCTTTTCTGGCCCTAGAGCAACGATTTGCTCTTTGCCTTAAGAGACTGATGAAGGTGAAACCATCTGTTCTAAGTGCTGAAAGACTGCCCAGGAACACACCGGGCGCTGGCTCCTGCCCTCCATGCCTAGAGGGAAACTGGGGGAACAACGGGCTTTCCTGCTTTGTGAACTTGTCCGCAGAGCAAAGAGGGAGATTCGGGAGGAAACTGCAGTATTTGCTAGTGCCCTAATCATGTTCAGTTACTCTCGTTGATATGTATACTTTATTAGTTATAGACATAAATAATTTATATTTTATATAACATTACTTACATATTATAGACTACATTCACAGACACAAATCACACACATAAACACACACCTTTTCAACAGCGTGGTGACGGACAAAGCAAGCAAAGTGAGGCTGGTTATCAGACTTTAACAGATTAGAAAACAGATTCCCAAGAGGACAGGAATTCCCCAAGGTCAGGCAGCTAGCCGGTAGCTTTTCTAAGCTGGGTAAAACCTTCCCTGCCTCTAACGGCCCACAAGGGAGAGAAGACCGTGATACACACCTGTCTGGTATAAAGGGGAAGACCACAGCTGTGATGTTTTTGTGAGGCAGGTGAGGGAAGGGGCAAAGGGATGGGTCATGTGTCAGGAAGCAGCGTCCAACCAGAGCCAGCCACCTGTCCCTTTTCCTGCCACCATGCACCAACTTTGCTGTTCAGTCACTGAAGCTCATTCTGCACCTACTTCCTCCCTTCCAGGCTCCAGGGGACCCTGAACTTTCCTTGTATGACTCAGAGGAGGACATCCCCAGCTACTGGGACTTAGAGCAGGTGAGCTGAGGGACGGGGCTGTGAGGGTGGGAGCAGGGTGAGGAGGGGAAGGATGGGGTCGCTGTCAAATACAAGGTGTTCACTCGGCTGTCTCACCTCCAGCCCAGAGCAGTCACATTCAAGGCCACAAAGATTTGTGGTCATCTTTGTTTCTTTTCTTTTCTTTTTTTTTTTTTTTTTTTTTGAGACACTGGAGTGCAGTGGCATGATCTCGATTCACTGCAACCTCTGCCTCCCGGGTTCTAGCAGTTCTCCTGCCTCAGCTTCCTGAGTAGCTGGGACTTCAGGCCTGTGCCCAGCTAATTTTCGTATTTTTAGTAGAGACAGGGTTTCACCATGTTGGCCGGGCTGGTCTCGAACTTCCGATCTCAAGCGATCTGCCTGTCTTGGTCTCCTAAGTGCCTGGATTACAGGCATAAGCCACTATGCCTGGCCTTTGCTTTCATTCTTCTCAATCCCTGAAAGGCATCGTGGGGAGAGGGTGAGTCACTGGACCAAGTCCTAGAGAACTAGTATCTATTCTTACTCTCCAACACATCGTTCATGTGACCTTGGGCAAGCCACGTACACCCTGGGCCCTAGTTTTTATCATCTGTGAAGTTAGGGAAACATAGGTAATACCTGTCCCATCCACCACACCAGATTGGCAGGGCAGTCACTTGTTCTTTCACTAATTCAGCAGGTATTTATGGTGTACCTACTGTTTGCCTGATGCAGTTCAGGATGGACAAACAGCAGTGAGCAAAACAAAGGCCTCTGCCTTTTAGAAACGTATGTTCTAGTAGAATAAATGAATTCTGGGTCTAAAAATAAATTATTATTGCATGTGGACAGGCCTTAAGAACTAAAAGACATGTGGCTGGGTGCAATGGTTTACACCTGTAATCCCAGCACCTTGGGAGGCTGAGGCGGGCGGATCACCTGAGGTCAGGAGTTTGAGACCAGCCTGGCCAACACGGCAAAACCCCGTCTCTTCTAAAAATACAAAAATTAGCCAGGTGTGATGGTGCATGCCTGTAGTCCCAGCTACTCAGGAGTCTGAGGCATGAGAATCACTTGAACCTGGGAGGCAGAGGTTGCAGTGAGCTGAGATCGTGCCACTGCGCTCCAGCCTGGGTGACAGAGCGAGACTGTCTCAAAGACAAACAAACAAAACAAAACCTAAAAGGTATGTGGATATGAGGGATCACCATCCCCACAGGGCCCCTGGATTAACACCACCCCACCAACACCCTGAATTAAAAGAAACCAGATAACTAGGTTTGGAGAAATCTGGCTTTGGGTCTATGAGAAATAGTGTCTCTCTTTGTGCTTCTTCCCATTCTTTTTGACATTGAGCTCCGTGGTGCTCTGAATCCATCTCTCACAGTGCTGATGGCAGGTGGGACAGATTAGAAAATAGAGCTTGAGCCACAGAGATTTGGCAGACTGATTTCTGTGCCCTCTTGGAATCTCCAGCACATTCCGAAAAGGCTGGATAGGACCAAAATAGCTTATCAAAGTGAGAAAGGACTTTAGAGCTTGTCTACTGCCAACCCTTGTTTTACCCAATGAGGAAAGTGAAGCTAAAAGGGGGCGAGGGACACGTGGAAGGTCACACAGCACACGGGAGGCAATTCACATGTAGATTTCTGCACCTGCTCCTGCCACGCTGGACTGGTTCACCTCCTAGGATGACCCTGCCTCTCCCCTGTTCACACACACACTCTCTCGCGCACACACACACACGCGCACACGGGCACACAGGCACACATGGTGCCTTGTTCTGGCAAGGGGTTCCTAGGGTCACCTCTTGGTTGCAGCCACTGTGACCCCAACTGGTCTAACCTCTCTCTTCCCCTCCCACTTCCTTCCTGTGGTTCCTGCAGGAGATGTTCGGGAGCATGTTTCACACAGAGACCCTGACTGCCCTGTGAGGGCCCGACCAGTCTTCATGCTGCCTACAGAGCACCTGGCACTTGGAACTTCCACAAAAGATGAGCCTGGGTCACAGGGAGTGTCGGGCAGAGGAAAGTGCATCCCCCAGAGCTTGGCTTCCTGTCTCCTTTTTCCCGTCTCCTCCCCTCTTTCCTTCCCCGCATCTCCAGAGAGAGCTTCTCAGCAGCCGGGGGGTGCTACCCTTCCAGGAGTGAGAGTCTGGTGAGCCCAGTCTTCACCCGTCAGGCCTTGGCCGCAATGGACAAGCCTCCTGCTCGCTCCACCCCACCCACCTCTGCCCTGTCCTTGGCAGCTGAAGGACACCTTGACTTCCAGCTTTTACGAGTGAGCCAAAAACAGAAGGACAAGTACAACTGTGCTGGCCTGCTGTACAAGCTTCAAAAAGTGTCCCAGAGCCCACATGGCTCAGTGTCAGATGGTGTCAGGCTGTCACGGGACATAGGGATAAACTTGGTTAGGACTCTGGCTTGCCTTCCCCAGCTGCCTCAACTTTGTCTCTGGCAGCTCTGCACCCGAGGACCATGTGCTCTCCACACCCAGGAGTCTAGGCCTTGGTAACTATATGCCCCCTCCATCATCGCCTAGGCTGCCCAAACCACCACTGCTGTCAGCAAGCACATCAGACTCTAGCCTGGACAGTGACCAGGGCCATCGAGACCACCAGAGCTACCTCCCCAGGGGCAGCCCACTAAGGTTCTGCCTCAGTCCCCTGAAACATTGGTGCCCCTGCCCTCAGAGGCTGCTCCCTCCCCCTGGAGGCTGGCTAGAAACCCCAAAGAGGGGGATGGGTAGCTGGCAGAATCCTCTGGCTTCCTAGTAATAGATACCAGTTATTCTGCACAAAAGCTTTTGGGAATCCTTCTTTGCACCCAGAGACTCAGAGGAAAAGAGGGTGCTAGTACCAACACAGGGAAAACTGATGGGACCTGGGCCCGGACAGTCCCCCTTGACCTCAGGGCCGGTCAGGGAAATGCCTCCCTTTGGTAAATCTGTGTTATCCTTCTTTATTTGGCAAACAGCCAATCATGTTAACTCTTCCTTATCAGCTTGTGGCCCAGAGACACGATGGGGTCCTTCTGCAGGCAAAGGAGGAAGTCCTCTAGGGACCCGCTGCATCCCCTAACTGCATGCAGATATGGAAAGGGGCTGATCCAGATTGGGTCTTCCTCCACAGGAAGATTCCTTAACACCCTTAGGACCTGAGGCCATCTTCTCCTATGAAGATGAAAATAGGGGTTAAGTTCTCCATATGTACAAGGAGGTATTGAGAGGAACCCCACTGTTGACTTGAAAATAAATAGGTTCCATGTGTAAGTGTTTTGTAAAATTTCAATGGAAATGCACAGAAAATCTTCTGGCCTCTCATCACTGCTTTTCTCAAGCTTCTTCAACTTAACAACCCCTTCCCTAACAGGTTGGGCTGGCCCAACCTAGGAAAACATCCCAATTTCTAACTTCAGCCAGACCTGCATTGTGTGTCTGTGTGTTGAGTGAGCTGATCAGCTAACAAGTCTTCTTAGAGTTAAAGGAGGGGGTGCTGGCCAAGAGCCAACACATTCTTGGCCCAGGAGCACTGCTTTTCTGTGAATTCATTATGCCATCTGGCTGCCAATGGAACTCAAAACTTGGAAGGCGAAAGACAATGTTATCTGGGATTCACCGTGCCCAGCACCCGAAGTGCCAAATTCCAGGAGGACAAGAGCCTTAGCCAATGACAACTCACTCTCCCCTACTCCACCTCCTTCCAAGTCTAGCTCAGGCCCAGGAGGTGGGAGAAGGTCACAGAGCCTCAGGACATTCCAAGTCAGAGTCCCCTTTGAACCGAGTATCTAGATCCCCTGAGGACTAGAGGAAGTGATCCTTAACCCCCAAGTAATCATCAACCCCCAGACCAGCCTCAGAACTGAAGGGGATTGTTGATCCAGTGGCCTGG